AACACCCGTAAAACTTTCGTCCTACAGAGAACTGTGTCCTATATGTCTTTTTGTAAGCCTAATGTACTATGGCTAACTTTTTATGCTCTACGCGATGCTCATGTTGAAATCTTCGCGGCTGTGAGGCCATGTAATGGTGGGCGGACCTGAATGGAAGTACCGAAGAATAAGAATAATTAATAGCGTGACATGTTTTGACTTGTTTCTTAAAGTTCATCTGTGTGGAGTTTGTGCAGTAAAACACAGGACAATGTATAGTCTCATAACAGTTATAGCTCTCTTTCTGTTAATGATATCATTGAAGAGTTTAACAGTATTTTACTAAAAGTCGAAATAGTTATAAAATCGATTTCTAACTAATTATTCGTAAACGTTTGCTTTTTTTAAAGGCGTTTATAAACTGTTTTCTGCTTATCTAATGATCAAAAATGAAATTAGTTTAAAATTATTTATACTGACATTCTCTGACTTTTTTACGCTTTTTATAAAACTAAGTATATTTAATATAATTGAAAAACATTTTGTAAAATCATTTCACATAAAAGGCGAGCTTTCGATACTTCACGGTATCATCATCAGGCTAATATGACTGTCGAATTTAGAAGAGAGATGATTATAATTATCAACTAGTATATAGAGTACGCTGAGGTAATTATAACCAGGCATAAACTAGTATATAATATATATATATAGTATATTTGGAATCAGCATGAAAAACTGAATCGAGTGATGTGCGTTTCAGATGTTTTGGACAACTTTGACTTTTTACCTCAAAACATCAAAGTTGTCCAAACCACCTGAAACACACATCACTCGATTCAGTTTTTCATGCTGATTCCAAATATATTATTAGTTTTGCAAAAAATAATGGAAGTTTAGCGGCAAAGTTCTTATTTGAAATATAAAATGGGAACCGATCACAATCACATTTGAGAATCAGACGTTGACAGTGTTCTTTTAGAAAAGAAAAGGTGCATCGGATAGAGGATGCTCTTATGTTCATGAATAGCTAAACTTTTTCTCGATGTCATTGCTAATTAAGCTTCCAACTTAATTACCAAACTAATATTGACAGGAACTTAATTACCAAGTAATATTTGAAAATTGACAGTTATTACTTTTTACACGATCAAAACATTTTTTTCTCTTCCGATTTTCACATGTAATAATAGATAATAGTCTTCTGAACATATTCTTCAACATCCGAATCGAGAGAGTAGTGCAACACTTTAGAAAGCCGATAAAAATAGTTGAGCCTATACGAAAAAAATTGAGCTTGATAAAAGGCTGATCAAAGTTGATTTACATCGTCCCAGCCGTTTTTGTTGTGATGGTTATAATTACGCCAGCGAAGTACATTGACTGGTTATAATTACCCCAGCGTACTCCAAATGTCCCGCACTAAATCTATTCGTATAAACCTTAAAATAGTTTCAGGCTTGTTTCAAGGATCCGAACCTTTTTAGGTTATGTAAAAAAACTAATTTGTTTAGAGTGTATGATCAATAAAATGTTGATTATTCAGATTTCTTTTTCTATTGTATCTACGTCTGACTTCATGATTGTCTTCTAGGTTCCACAAATGTTGTTTTTCCATCTATTTATGTTGAATGTTCGTAAAAAGCAGAATGTAAAATTAGACTGAACTTTCCATCGTTACTTTAAAATCGAGGTTAGATGATCCATCGAAAAGAGATAACACACTAGCACATCGAAAATAGAAGTCGTATCCATTCTCATTTACATTCTTCGATTTTAGCTGGTACTGAACTTCCTCTGAAAACAAATGTTGAACTAATTCAAGTTCTTCAACTACTCAACGATAAAAATGATGTTACTGCACGAAGAAATGAAAACCTTTATCGGCATGCAATGAAAAAAACAAAACCACCAGGAAATATAACTATATATAAAGGTGAATTTCATGTGACATTATCGCGAAAATTTGTTGAATACTGTTATAAGAGTAAACTGGCAAATGATTTTTATTATTGGTTGAACGGTACAGCAGTGCCAGATGAACATTATTATCCAACATTGAATCGTCTACCACAGTTTCCTGGTCATGCTAGTATACATTATGAAGGTACGCGTTTTATGTCTCGTTTCAAAATCTGGAGATTAAAAGGGTTAAAAGCACAAAATCAAAGAAGCGATTTGTGTAGATCTGATATTTTCATTCGTGCAATATGTCAATTTGATTGGCATGATTTACCAACGTTGACTAAAAGTAATTATTTATTTGCAAATAAATTTAATCAAAAACTAGACATGTTGGGTATATCGTGTCTGGAACAATGGCATCAAGCAAAATCAATGACATCGGTAAAAATAGATTTGAATGATTTTAATAAATTTCCACCAATTAAAAAAGCGATTGATGAATCAGTAAGTTTTGAACTGGAAAAAAATAGACTGGTAGGATTTAAAAAATTTAAACACTAGAAATTAAACGTTATAGGCTAACTCGCTTTTTAAATCAATACATACTAACGATTAACTTAGTCTAAAGCGTATAGATAAGTGATTATTTAGATCACCTATGAAATGTACTTTGAGAAATTTTCCCAAACTTTTTCCAATAAAAATTTCACCAAAATTAGAAAAAATCTGCTAGGTTATCGACTATGACGAAAGCGAAAAGATACTTTTTCTCAATTCGGCACTAACTTTATTTTCTTGTAAGAACTAAGAACCTAATCTTATTTAGTAGTTTGTGATAGGATAAAAAAAATAAGTTTCAGTTCCATCAAACTGCTTTTCAAAAACAGCGCATGCGGTGGCATAGCCACATTTAACTTTTTTGGATGTATAGCCTATATTTTATCTGGAAAAATTAATGAATCGCACGCCAAGAACATACTTTAACACCGTGTAACATGTGTATGACTCCTTTGCACACATGTGCGAGTACGTATGCGAATGAATGTGCGCTATATGGGACTTTAAAATATGATCGGGATCAATCAGATAAAAAAGTGTGATTGTAGAAAATGCTGAAAACTCAATTAATCGACTTTATTCGGGACACAATACGCTATCATGTGTATGCTGTCATTATACAGTGAAGAATAATCCTACGAAAGCATCTAAAAATGAGTTACAACTACAGTAACCATCTTAAAATGAGCCAAAATTATGAAATAAAATAAAATTTCAATCAATATCTAAAATTCAATATCAAATTCATGCTTAGTGTAAAAACACTTGATAGATTATCTCGATGGTATAGACCAACTATGAAATATTCTTAAAGGGATTATACTTTAAAAACAAGTATTTATCCTATAACACTACTATTATTATCTATTTCAAAATATAATAGTCTGTCGCATATCGTTTTTTGAACAACTCGGTAACGAAAATTGATGAAATGTTCGATTTTTCGCTATTCTGAACTAGTCTCTTGGGGCCATCGATGTATGAAAGTATTTTCAAAAAATTAGATGCAAAAACTATTGATTTTCCGTTTAGAAATATGAACAGATCAAAAATAGGTCTAGCCAAATTCAGTTTTTCACCGTATAGTCGTCACTTTGGTGAAGGTTTTTTATAGCAGAAGTTTGTGTCGATTCTGTAGTTTAGATCTGCAAACATATTAGTTTCTAAAAGATTCCCAAAATGTGGTGTGTTTGTGTGAACATGAAGAAGCAAAAATAACGTACTTTGTGACTGGATCTGGAAGGAAAAATAATTCAGTTATACGCTCGATAATTGCAGAAAAAATATACGAAAAGTTATAGTTCTGCTCGAACATGATTCGACTAGTCCTGATCTTCTGAGTATTTCTATATAAAAGGATCACCCCCTGCTCTGAGATGCTAGCTACACCCCTGACAGAGTGTATAGGTTTCACTCTCAAATTCGATAATATTTTTGGGAGTGACAGGAAAGGAAGGAAAATAATATAAGATAGTGTATTTTTTTGTGTCAAGATACTCTACAACTAAAATTTCTACAACCAAGCGCTACTTTCTATGAGTTTCACGCTGACGATAGTAGTAGTTTTAGAAATTTTAATTGCAGAATATTTGGATCATTTTTTGTTAGCTTCTAAACGTCTGAGGTGGAATCGAAAAATGAAACAAAAGTAAAATTTAAAAATCTGACCCTGTTACGCGTTACCCCAACCTTAAAGGTTCTGTACACCACGATGGCTGCAGAATCAAGGTGTGACTTGGAACTTCGGCGGGTCTCCAGTTTCAGAGGGCGTAGTGCTGGAACAGATCATTTCAGAACCTTCAAAATAGTTGAACTTGGTTCAAAAGTGGTTACTTAAACTATTGGAATAGTTTTGAGTAGAAAAAGATTTCAGTAGGTTTTTTGGAGATCTGTTTTTCCAGAAATTCTCTGGAAATCCTGCGGAGATCTTCAAAGTTTTCTTATTAGAATCTAGAATGTTTTCTACCTACAAATCCAAATTTTCACCGAATGTGAGTGATTTATTGGGAAATGAGCTGCCCGATTCGAGACAAAATGCGCAGATTCTACCACAAACGCGTTATCTCAGGAACAAAAAGGAACCTGGAAAAAAGGATTCACAGCTTTTTCGTGATGTTATGGTGAGTATAATTACGTAAAAATATTGGCTTCAACTCAAATCTATAAAAATTTTATGTGCTTGGCGTGAATGGAAGAGGAACTTTCCGGCTCTCCGCAGCTTTTAAATTTTTTTCTGTCAAATAATGCCTGCGTAATATTGAAAATAAGTTATAGATACAATTTTCGACGTAGAAAAAGAAAGAAATTGTCTTAAACTCACCAAAGATGATTAAGATAGATTTTTCATTTTAAAAATTAGGCTGTTTCTTAAGGATTTGAAATTTTTGAGTTTTTTCAAACTTTCCATCCTAAAAATTTTCCCGAAACGTTAAGACGCACATATTCGAATGCACCTCGACGGGTTCTATCGAACCATGTGTAAAAATCGAAAAAATGAAAAGCGCTGCAAGTTTGAATTTCCGGCACCTTGAACTAATTGGCCATCAAAAATATTGATTACGAAATTCTTTCTCTTAATTCACATTTTCTATAAACTATTTGTCTTCTCAGCTCCTCTCATATATCACATGCGCGGTATTTTTGCCGATGGTGATAGCCAGTATATCTCTGCCCACAGCATGTCTCATCCTTTTAAAAACTCTAATTCTTTCCTTCTATTTGAAAGCGTACTGTTATAAATTATTAAGCGCTGTTCATAGTCGCTATGCAGTTATTATTATGCGTAATCGTGAGATGGGTGTTTTCAATATATTTATGTTTTTATTTTTGTATTTAAAACTGAGCGAAAACATGTTTATTTTGAAATTTATTTTGTTATTCCTTTTATTTATTCATCAATCTTCTTCAGTTGATCCCAAGCAACAAAAACATTCAAAGCATCAGTCAGGTCCGCATCATATCTTCAAACGTCCAACTATGCATGAGCCACATATCCAAACTCCTGATCCTACCAGTGCTGGTACTGAAGGAGGTGGCATAGGAGGTCAGTAATTCAATCAGTTTTTGACTCCAAAATAGTTACTCTGTAGCTTCTGCCATCTTTGCTACAACCGTGATGTAGACTAATCCTGATATTAAATCAATTAATCGCTGATTATTACAGATTACTTGGATCCAGCTGCTGGCGTTCCATCATATCTGCCGCTTCCTTCTCTACCATCAGCTGATCCCTGCCATCAAACTGAGTTAAATGGTATGCATCAGCAAGTACTCGTCACTCAAAATGTTGCTCATGTACAACCCCAAAACCCGCAAGTATGGGTATATTATTCAGATACACCGAATGTCGCGCCGTATAATGTCTTTCCGATTTTTTTGCATCAAGTAAAATTTATAGTTACTGGTTTAAGCCTAATTGACCTTCAAACCGCAACAACCGATGCCGCTCATCGATTAGGATGGAGATTTTTATACAATGCACCGCTAACATTTATAGAACAGGCAAATCATCCTCAAGGCATTACATGTTTTGCTTTTTGATATTGTATAATTGAACGACCCCAACAGCTATTCCTCACACATAGAAATAAAGCGTCTCAGCTATTTGCTCATAAGTGGACGTTAAGTTTTGGAGACAAGAGAAAGACCTCACTCTTCACCCATTGATAGTGTGTTCTCTCTTTCTATATCAAAACGTGCTGAACGCGAGAGATGTCAGACGGAAAAATAAAATTATAGATCTTCCATTAAGCCCCCCTCCCTTCGTTTGCGATTTCGGTTTGTGTTTTATACTGTGTTTCATACTTTTGTATTGATATTTTTTTATTTAACATAAAAGAACAAATATGTTATGCGTGACTGTTGATTGCTTCAAAGATAAAAAATGTGATAGTTTAGTCATTATTTCATAAAGATAGTTTCTGATAATGCCTGTTGACGTCATCATTACGTACAAATAAATCAATTTCACATGTTGAATGAATTAGATATGGTAAATATGATGTTAAATGTAGAAAAAATATCAAAAGTCTTCTGAAAGAAACTAGAAATGATGGTTTTAAAAACATCGAACTTTTCAGTCTACTTGGATGAATTTTTTATAAAAAAAATTTTATTTTAATAATTTAATAAGTCAAAGATTTTTTATAAGACTTTTGAACTTCTTTTATAAAATTTAAAATAAAATGTTAAAAGATTAACTTTTTTAAAATTCTGTATTATAATATAGGTAAGCACACTACTATAGTTATTTATATCAAATTACAGAAGAAATTGTTTTTGTTTTGTGTAAAATTTTTATATTATTTAAAAGTTGTTTATATTAGTCTACTAGTGGTTTATATTAAAAGTTTTATATTAGTCCCACTAAGAAGTGCCAACGAGTCATAATCAGATGTCTCTCAACTCTCTATGACGTTTCTTTTCCGAGTTATGTATTTTTTAAAACAGGCCACTGGAGAGATCTAACATCAACATGATGAATTTAAATCTTCAGTGGACCATCTTAAAAAATGTATAACTCGGACAGGAAAAGTCATCGAGAGTTGAGAAGTGTCTCATTATATAGAGGATACTTAACTGTATATTGTGCCACATCTAACTCGATAAAATCGAAATTTTACCAAAAAGTGGGTGAGGTTTACGCTTAAAAACAAATTCACTTTTCTATTTAAGACCACAGAGAAGGAAAATCGTTTTTACAAAGTTTGAACAGTCTTGTGTGGTAGTTAATTTTATTTGTAGTATTGTTCAAAAATATCTGTTCTTTCAAATGGCGTTTGAATTGGTTCTCTAACATCAATAGTAAAATAGATATACAAAAAAAAGAACTCACTGTTTACTTTTCCTTAACTCTCGACATGTAAATGAATCTTAAATAAAAAACAAGAATGTATTTATTCATTCATAAATGTGTTTGTTTAAAATGTGTTTCTTTTCTATAAAATAGAAGATTCATATGAAATCTGATGTAATGGTTCGGTAACGATTTTTTATCAGAGCGA